GTTTTTTTCTTTCTGGTTTTTGACAATAATGTCCGGCCTATTTGCTTCAATTTTTCTGTCTGTGTGGATGGTATAATCCCATAGAATGGTGACATCTTCTATTTCTGTAACCGGCGCTGGCCGATGTTCATACCAGTGTTTGCTTACATTTTTCCAAAGTGTTTACACATTGTCCAGTGTAAGTATTGCCCCACTCTATCGTGACGATTTTATATTCATTTTGGGGCAAGTATAGAACATCCTGAGATTAGATGGTCTATTGTTTCTTGGTATTTGTCACAGAACCTGCATTTTGGATCCACATTATTATGTATGATATTTGCCTGAAAATTCCTAGTGAAAAGACTCTGGTCTTGCGCTGCAAGAATAAAGCCTTCAGTTTCAGACTTTAATCCAGATGCTCGTAACCATCGATGAGTATTAACTTTATCAACATTGGGTTTATTTGCACGTTCTGGATATTGGCCATGCAGAGGTTTGTCTTGCCAGCGTTGTTTCATCTGTTCAAGGGCTTTATCCTTGGCTTTTTTTTTCATATCTTTTTGCTGCAATAGTTGGTTCTTGGCTTCTGTTTTGATTTACTACAGAATCTACTAAATGTAAATGTTGTTTGTATTTACTGCCTTCTTTTATTATTGAATATTTTTTCTTTCTGTTTTCATGTTGTTTCACTAATTTTATCATCCAGTCATTTGTTGTTTCCATGTAAGTTAGTAAGCCAATAGTTGTTGTCTTGTATGACAATTCTAGCTGAATAAGACCTCTTCCACCTTCTTTACGGGGTATGTATAGACGGTCTACATCAGCCTTTGGATGATGCATCTTATACTTAGAAAGAAGCTTTCTTGTTTTAGAATCCATTTGTCTGATATCATTTAGAGTCCAGTTCAAGATGTTGAAACTATATTGGACCACTGGGATGGCAAGGTTATTAATGGCCATAATTCTGTTCTGAGAATTCAATTCAGTTTTTAATACCAGTCGTACCCTTCTATAGTACTCTTTACGCACTATTTCTTTCATTTTCTTATGGTGAATTCCTTCACTCTCATTTACACCTAGGTACTTATAAGCTTCTCCTTGTTCTAAATCTTTTATTGTTACAGCAGGGTCTAAACTAATAGAGGAAGTTTGTTGTAGCGATCCTCGTAAAACTGTAGCTTTAGCACATTTATCCAAATTGAATTTCATTCCAATGTCTTCACTGAAGCATTTTACAGTTTGCAGAAGACCTTCCAGCTCATTGTCATTCCTAGCATACAATTTTAAGTCATCCATGTAAAATAGATGGTTTATTTTCTTTTTGAGCTATTTTGTAACCGCATTCTGTCTTGTTAAGTTGGCTGGTTAATGCTATAAGTGATATGCAAAATAATAAAGGAGACAAAGAGTCACCTTGAAATATTCCTCTATTGATGTTTATTTCGCCAGACTTATAGGTTCCATTTTTATGATTGAGGTAAAGTGTAGTTTTCCATATCGACATACATTGTTTGATGAAATTGATGATAACGGGTGATACCTTGTACATACTTAAAGACTTTAAGATCCAGGAATGTGGTACACTATCGAATGCTTTACGATAATCTATCCAGGCAATACTAAGATTTATTATTATTATTATTATTATTATTATTATTATTATTATTATTATTATTATCATCATCATTATTATTTCTTTTCTCTTTTTTTCTTAAGTCTAAATTTTCTCTTAACTGATGAATATAATTATTATTTTTATTTTCTTTGATTTCTGGCGTTTACACATTTCTTTCCGGGTCCAGCCCAGGGACCTAAGGTTAGAAATGGCGTCATGACACTTTCCACTGACAAAAAAAAAAAAAAAAAAAAATTACATAGATAAAGCCCTTCGTAAAGTGTGGGCTGTACTTGTCAGAACAATTTTATTATTATTATTATTATTATTAATAATAATAATAATAATAATAATAATAATAATAATAATGCTAGCAAATTATTCAAATCTTTTTCTTATGGTCATCTGTATCTACCTATGTCCATAGTAAGATATTCATGTGGGCTTAGTGTAATGACAAAAGAAACTTTAAAATAGATATCTTGCTGAAATGTTCATGTAGACATTTTCGAGAGTTAAGAAGGGTTCTATGACAACATTTCTTTGTTCGTAGGACGGGTATAGAATAAAAGAAAAGTTTGCGCAAGCCAGGAATGACAAAGAAAGAAAAAGCCAGAGCGAGAATAATTCGCATTAGGAAAAATATTCTTCTTACAGAAAGAAGGAAAATAATCGAGAGATAGGAACATTCATTCCTAAAAGAAAGATCTGTGCAAATGGAGAACGAGAAAGAAAGAAAAAGCCAAAGAGAGAAGAATAATTCACATCAGAAAATCATTTTTAAATAGAAGGAACAATGAGAAAGAAGGAAAAAAATTCCCAAACAGAAATATTAATTAATATAATACAAGAAAGATATGCACAATGCAGGAATTAGAAAGAATGAAAAAAGACAAAGAGAGAAAAATAATTCGCAAGGTAAAAGGAATATTTTTACAAGGGGGAATGAGAAAAACAAAAACAATAAAACAAAACAAAACTAAGAACGAAGAAGAATCGATAAGAGAAAAATATTTTCATTAGGAAGGGATGAAAGACAATAAAAAAACCCCTAAGCGTTCGATATAGCAAAAAGAAAAAAAAAGTCCATATGACTAAAGTAATCCCCCCACCACAAAAAAAAAAAATTGTTCCCTAATTTAAAGGATTTTCTCAAGAATCCTACTTTACTTACACAGTAAATTAACTTATTTTCCTTGAAGTTCAAGAATGAATATTG